CGCACTTAAAAAGATGAGAGAGGCCTGTAATTTTCATCATAGGTATACCTCAACTATGAGAGACTAAGCCAGTACATGTCTGGGCCTGTCTGAAGTTTGCTAGAGAGTAAGCCAGTACATGTCTGGGCCTGTCTGAAGTTTGCTAGAGAGTAAGCCAGTACATGTCTGGGCCTGTCTGAAGTTTGCTAGAGAGTAAGCCAGTACATGTCTGGGCCTGTCTGAAGTTTGCTAGAGAGTAAGCCAGTACATGTCTGGGCCTGTCTGAAGTTTGCTAGAGAGTAAGCCAGTACATGTCTGGGCCTGTCTGAAGTTTGCTAGAGAGTAAGCCAGTACATGTCTGGGCCTGTCTGAAGTTTGCTAGAGAGTAAGCCAGTACATGTCTGGGCCTGTCTGAAGTTTGCTAGAGAGTAAGCCAGTACATGTCTGGGCCTGTCTGAAGTTTGCTAGAGAGTAAGCCAGTACATGTCTGGGCCTGTCTGAAGTTTGCTAGAGAGTAAGCCAGTACATGTCTGGGCCTGTCTGAAGTTTGCTAGAGAGTAAGCCAGTACATGTCTGGGCCTGTCTGAAGTTTGCTAGAGAGTAAGCCAGTACATGTCTGGGCCTGTCTGAAGTTTGCTAGAGAGTAAGCCAGTACATGTCTGGGCCTGTCTGAAGTTTGCTAGAGAGTAAGCCAGTACATGTCTGGGCCTGTCTGAAGTTTGCTAGAGAGGATGAAAATTACAGGCCTCTCTCATCTTTTTAAGTGGGAGAACTTGCACAATTGGTGGCTGACTAAATACTTTTTTGCCACACTGTATTTCTAATAGAGTTATATGAGTATCCTGTTTTTTTAACCCAGTGTATTTTGTATAAATTAGTCCCATATTTCATTATATTTGTCCATACAAAGTCTATGTCTATAGGCAATCCGCTCATAGGTAGCAAGTGTAATCAGGTCTTCAATCCATTGACTAAATGGGGCCATACATTTAAAATATTAATCCTCTATAACTATTAACTGGAACCACTCCACTCTAAAACTGTGTTCCCTCTACCTTTGTAGGTGATCTATAAGAATACCATAGTAAATGATATTGAATGCCACTGACATATCTGGTAGGGTGCGAAACACATTCCTTCAACAAGGTCCTGATAAGAGTCGTCCACCATAGTGACCAATGGTGTTTTGTGTTTCATATCCTGAACCCTGACTGGAAATGATCTTGATAATCTGTTTCCTCTAGGATATTCTGAAGCTAACTTCCAACCACTGTTTCAATAACCTTTCTCCACAAGGGGAGATTGGAGACTGGGCAGAAGATGTCCAGTGTTGTCAGATCAAGAAATGGTCTTTTCAACAGAAAGTGTACAACCACCTCTTTCAAGGCAGGTGGCTTCAGAGAGGCATTAACTAACTCCCCAAATCCAGTCACACATACACCCTGTTCAATTGTCCAAAGGAACCAGCAAGGGCAAGGATTGAACCTACAAATGGAGGAGTTCATACTACGAAGAACCCTATCCATTTCCTCAGGTTCCACAAACTCAGAAGAATCCCATGTTTCAGTGCAAGCACTACTTTACTTGCAGGTAGGCCTTGTTTAGTGACTGCCTTATTTAGCAGCCGTTCACAGTTATGACAGTGATGAAAAATAACTTTGCAACCAATCCTTGCATTTATGACCTCTGCGGGTCTGTAAAGCAAAGGAAAGCTGAAGTAAGATCATAAGCATAGTTGTGGTTTCACGTAGCAACTGCTTCACTTAACAACCAAGTTGCTGGTGCCAATTGTGGTCACTGAATGAGGACTATCTGTACTTTGTGCTGGTTCTGTCCAACTGGCAGACCTGAGTGAATGCATGTGACTTTATCAGAAAAGAAACTTATCTGATTGTCCTGCAATTGCAGTATCCAATCTGCCTTTCCCTAAATGGATCCAATTTATTTTGAAGTGGACTGCAGGCAAGAACCAGCAGATGCAATATATGGAGGAATATAGAGTCTTTTCCATTGTTATTACACTGTATAGGCCTCAACCTGGTACCACTGTTCAGTCTAATTCACCTTTGGTCTTGTGCTACTGTTCTTCTAAGCATCTTTTCACACTTTAGCTTCTGAAGCTTCTCTGTAAACCAGGGAGCCAGTTGGGTTTAGTGACAGAAGAAGACCTCAAGGAGCAATCTCTTTTTCCAGAAATCAACCAGATGTATGGTTGGGGAAAAAAACTTGCTAGATTGTTGGGGGGAAAAAACTCTCAGAAACAATCTCAGGATCCATCAGGAGCTTGGGGTGGACCATCCTAACTGGCCCCTCATGCACACAGAAGTCCAAGGTGCTTACAATCTGCAAAGGACAAATCTCCAAGTCCTTCATATCCAGATCTCTTCTATTCCAAAGTAAAAACAAGGTCAAGCAAGCATGTGCCCTCCTTCATGAGTACTTGTGACATCCCCATGGTTGCTAGACCCTTCATCCCAGGATTGAAGTCCTCTAATACCAATAGCATAAGCAATTCCAATACCATCCTACCAATACACCAGCAGTAGCTACTTTTGTCCGTACAGTCAACTTCACATACAAATAGTTGCAAAGAGCTACCTCAAGGGCAGTGGTCACTAATAATTACAGCTACCTCTTCTCCCTAGCTGGACATTATGGCAGGATGGCAGAATTCTGACTTTGTGCACAACCAGGTTTTAGTAATACATGCCAGGCCAGTGCACTTCTCCACTGCTAAATCATAGAATATGCAGTATTTTCTTGTACTACCAGCAGCTTGAGACCAAGGCACCCCACCATTGAGCATCTGGTTACAGGGATGAGATACTTAGTTAGAAGAGATCTGTACCAATCGGTGGATCTCCTTTCTTCTGCAAATGGCCTATACACAGTGGTCCTCTGTCATATCTTCTTTTGTTCATCACTGATTAATGTGGCTTCAATTTCTTTTGCCCCTCCCCCAGCATATTATTTAGCCACTCCCTCAAACCTTCAGCATTGCCTGTAATGTGCATAGCACATCTTCCACCAACTATCTCTTCCTGTGCTGCCACTCTCACCTACTTACCCTCCACAACCTATAGAACACCCTAACAAATACCCATACACAATGTCCATACACAATATCCACCCAGTATACATGAGTAACTGGTACTCTATACTATGTATGAAAATTCATTCTCCTGTTCTCTCATTCCTGGGTGGATATCTGCTCCTAGTTTCTTACTATGGTAGCCAAAACTTCCAGATCTAGTTCAAAATTCACTATCTTCCAGTCCATTCAGAAATCACTATTACTCCAATGAGACTAATCCTTCACTGCCATCTCTGAACCCCACAGCCAGATCAGCCTCTACCAGAACCTTCTCAAACCTCCAGTCATCTCCTGCTTGAGCCTTAATCCTCAGCTACCTGTGCCACCCATTTTCCAAAGTTCCGGTCTTCTACCCCTCTCACAGGTTTCTACTGAAATACTACCTCTCTCACAGCCTACGCCTTCTTCACCAATTTGTTCTGGTTGTCTCTTAATGGCTCTTCCATGGCTGCTAGATCCAAAATGGTTGTCACTGATACTTCTTGAGTATCATTGCTTCCATATGGAATCAATGTATCTGACTCGTCTCCCTTCTTATTACTTCTACATTGTCCAAGACTGAGAAGGATCTACCTTTACAACAAGTCAGCTCTGGGTCCAATACATTGTATCAGCTGGTCTTCACCTCTGTTCTTCTTTTAGTACTATCATCCCATTCCCCACTATCCAAGTCCTTTCTCTTCAACTTTCTCCTTCTATTAAAACACATCCAGCTTCTTCTCAATCTTTCCTTAAATTAGACATATTCCCACCCCACCCCTTCTTGATCCCTAAACCTCGCTTTTTATATAATTAGTGGGCAATACACAAATAATTTTTTATGAAATATTTTATTTATTTATTTATTTATTAAATTTTTCAACTGCCCATCTCCCCACAATGGGGGAATTCTGGGCGATTCACATTTTTATCCAAATATTTTAGAAATCAGTTTTGCTACCATGGGATGCTAGAGGATTCTTCTTGTCTCCTTCCTTCATATTATCATTGACACTGCAATAAAAGGCTATTATTTGAACTGCAGAAATTTATTAAGATAATATTCTTAAATTAAAAGAATTTTTGCACAATTATTTAATATGATGTTTCATTCTACAACTAATTATTTGCTGCAAGACAAACTACATGTATTCCAAACAAACCTTATTGAGAGGTATATATGTATTTCTGTATATATTCTATTACAAATGACCACAAATGTAGTCATCTAATCAAGAAAACCAGCAGCAAAGCTGTACTTCAACCTGATGGATGGCACTCTAACAGGCTTGGGAAAAATATAAGTTTGACATAATTTTCCAGTGAAGGAATATTTAAAAATCCTCTCAATGAAGAATAATCTAATTGTGTTAAATGACCAGTTTAAATGTAAAGCATCTTGTTCATTCATCAAGAACAGTCTGCAGGACTGTGCATTCTCACCTTCCCCAACGTTTCCCTCTAAGGCACAACTTTTGAAAGGGAACCATACATTACTTTATTGCTTCACCATAGTTAACTCTTATATATGCATTGATGCTAACCATAGCTAAGGATATAAAGAGTACACTCACTACCCTGAAAGTATGATACTATAGTGAAGGCTATAAGCAAGTGATACCTAGAATGTGTCAATCAAATTTAAACCCTTCAAAACATTACAGTTACAAAATAAGTGTCTTTTACCTGTTATTAAACAAACAGCTTATACATATGTCTAAGACCTAAGCACCAGCTTATACTGTGTGTATGACTCAAAACCACTGAAAGATTCAGCACTAAATACTGAAAATATTTGAGACAAAAAGCCAGGAAGTTCAAATAATACAAATAGGAAAACACTTAAAAAGATACAGTGCAACTAAATACAATGGGAAAATGCTCATTTGGAAATAGACTGGCTTTCAGTGATCACTGTATTTGTCTAATAGGAGGCAAATAGAATTACCTGATTCTGCAGTTCTTCCATTTTACGTTTTCTTGTGTGCAATGCTTTACTTGGGAAAGCCCAAAAATAATTCGAAGTTCCAATCCTATCAGTGTCTACCATACCATCATCAACTAAGCTCTGTAAGATATCCTTCACTGACATAGCCGCTGTCAAAGAAATAATCATAATTATTATTTTGAAAACTTGGTTGGATTGGGGAAATTATTCATTAAAACATCAGAGAACATAATAAGGATTCAGGATGCCTTTTGAGACATTTTCAACAATTCCCATAAACTTTGCAAATCACTACAAAATAGCAGATGATAAATTAAGCTTGCTTATGCATATAGCAAATCAAAAAATAGAGTTCCATTAAAATCACTGCCATGAAAAGATGGCAAAAAAGATTAATTCACATAGCTTTTTCCTCTAAGAAACTAAATTCATAACAGATCAACAGAGTACCAATGGTCCAATTCTAATTCTGTTAAGCACGTGGAATAAATATCAAGAGGACACTTCAGTACAGATTCAGAGGAATTTCTAAATTTTCCCAATCCACTACTATATCTCTAAAGGAACCCTGAAAGAACATTGGTTTTAAACCATCTTTCCCATTAGTGTATCTAATACAATGTACTGCTCTGAGCTAGATAATTTTCCCTGGGATTTATCCTTCTCGTCTCTCAAGCTCATGACACTTTTTCAAATATGCAATAAAATCAGACTGATTTTGAAGAAATGTGCAGACTGAAAATTTAACTCAGCTTTACAAAGTCAGTCCAAAAAAAAAAAAAGCATATTATGTAACATAGCTTAAATATTGCAGACAATCTGCAGAATAAATAAATGGTAATACTGTCAAGAATACCTTTATCTGCATCTCTGTTATCCATACTGAACACAGAGATAATATAATTGAATTGACATGTCATACTGGCAAGGAAATAGGCATAGAAGGTTATGTTTTAGTAGATACACCCCAAATATTTACATACAATATATTTTGCCTTCCTCAAAAAATAGTAATTAGTTTTGTAAGCTATTATGTCTTGTAGAGATATCAATTTTATCCCCAAATTTATTTATCTGAATTAAGGGAAAGCCAAATCTACTAAATGTAGGGCACCAAAAAGGAGTTCCATCTTCCTATAGAAAGTCCCTACCAGCAGTATGATAGTAGATTTTGTTTCTCTGTTATCCACTTGTCCTACAACTGTCTATTTCACTGTAGAAGAAGAGAAGGGTCATAGAATTCAAATAGATATATGTACAGTATATGTATATGTAGAATTCCCTAATGAATTTTGAAAGCACCTCACCTCTGTAAATATTAATTTGTGTCCACCTACCTGTCAAACAGTATGTAAAATATGCAGCAAACTGAAAATACCATGAATTCATAAAATGCATAGAATTCATAAAGAGAGCCAGTTTGGCGTGGTGATTAAGGTGCTGGCCTAGAAACCAGGAGACTGTGAGTTCTAGGCCTCCCTTAGGCATGAAACCTGGCTTGGAGGCTTTGGGCCAATCCCTCTCTCTTAGCCCAACCGCCTGACAGGGTTGTTGTAGGGAAAATAGGATGCAGGAGTACTAGGTATCTTCGCCATCTTGAGTTATATATAAAAAGGCAGATTAAAAATAAATAAATAAATAAAAAATAAATAAATAAAAAAT